TGGGTCCTCTCTTTTCCCCTTTTTGAAAATAGGGACAACATTTGCCCTCCTCCAGTCTGCCGGGACTTCGCCTGTTCTCCAGGAATTCTCAAAGATGACTGCCAGTGGTTCTGAGATCACATCTGCCAGTTCTTTTAATACTCTTGGATGCAGTTCGTCTGGCCCTGGAGACTTGAATACATCTAAACTAGCCAAGTATTCTTGTACTATCTCCTTAGTTATTCTGGGCTGTGTTTCTTTTGCTGAATCATTTGCTCCAAATTCTTCAGGTCGGGCATTGTTTTCTTTATCGGAGAAGACTGAGGCAAAGAAGGCATTGAGGAGTTCAGCCCTTTCTGTGTCCCCTGTTTGCATTTCACCATCTTCTCCTCTGAGTGACCCCACTGTTTCTTTGTTCTTCCTTTTGCTACGGACATACCCATAAAAGCCTTTTCTGTTGCTTTTAACCTCTCTAGCAAGCCTGAGTTCATTCTGTGCTTTAGCTTTTCTGACTTTGTGTCTACACGTGCTGGCTATTTGTTTGAATTCCTCTTTGGTGGTTTCCCCCTTTTCCATTTTTGTACACATCCTTTTTAATCTTAACTCAGTTAAAAGTTCTTTAGATAGCCACCCTGGCTTCTTTAGGCACCTTCCATGTTTCTGTCTCATTGGTATTGCCTGACGTTGTGCTTTTACTATCTCCCTCTTAACAAACTCCCAGCCATCATGAACTCCCTTTCCTTTTAGTATTACTGTCCATGGGATCTCACCCAGCACTTCCCTAAGTTTTATGAAGTCAGCTTTCTTAAAGTCAAGAAATTGAGTCCTAGTATGCTTGGCTGCTCCTTTCTGCTGTATAGTAAACTTCAGAAGAGCATGATCACTCGCGCCTAATGATCCTTCCACTTCTACCTCACTAATCAGGTCATCAACATTGGTTAGGACCAGATCTAAAATGGCTGTTCCTCTTGTTGCTTCTCCCACTTTCTGGACAATGAAGTTGTCTGCAAGGCCAGTGAGGAATCTGTTTGACCTTATGCTCTTGGCTGAGTTTGACATCCAACAAATATCCGGGTAATTGAAGTCCCCCATTACTACTATCTCCCTTCCTTTTGCATGCTTGGCCATCTGTTCCAGGAAGGCATCATCTATGTCCTCCGTTTGGCTTGGGGATCTATAGTAAACTCCCACAATGAGGTCACTGTTATTCTTCTCTCCCTTAATTTTGACCCAAATGCCCTCACTTTGGCTTTGAGGTTCTAAATCTTGGATCTCTTCACAGGTATACACATCCCTGACATATAACGCCACTCCTCCTCCTTTCTTGTCTGGTCTGTTTCTCTGAAATAGATTGTATCCCCCCATTATTACATTCCAATCGTGGGACTTATCCCACCAGGTTTCAGTGATGCCTATTATGTCATATTTAGTTTGCTGTACCAAGAGCTCAAGCTCATCTTGTTTATTTCCCATGCTTTGCGCATTAGTGTACAGACATTGAAGTCCATTAATCATTCCCCATGACTCTTATTTAAGGATTTTTTCCTCCCACCACTAGGTCTGTGTGCTGTTTGCTCCATTTGGTCTATGACATTTGGATGATCATCTTCATCAATTGATCGACTCCTACCTTCAGGAGCACTGTCTCCCTCCCCACATTAGTCAGTTTAAAGCCCTCCTGATGAGGTTTCTGAGATTTTTGGCAAAAACATTTCTCCCATACGTTGTGAGGTGCAGCCCATCGCTTGCCAGAAGTCCATCTTCAAGAAACTGCAGTCCGTGATCTAAGAATCCAAACCGTTCCTGTTTACACCATTTGCGAAGCCAGCTGTTCACTTCCACTATTTTCCCCTCTCTCCCTGGGCCACGTCGTTCAACTGGGAGGACAGATGAGATGACAATTTGTGCATTTAATTGCTTCAATTTCCTGCCCAGAGCCTCGTAGTCTCTTTTGATCTTCTGGAGGCTATTGCTTGCAGTGTCATTGGTTCCCACATGAACCAAGAGGAAGGGGTATTTGTCAGTGGGTTTTATGATTCCTTGCAGTCGTTCAGTTACATCTTGGATCTTAGCCCGGGAGACAGCACACTTCCCGAGACATCTTGTCAGGCCCACAGATCACTGCTTCTGTTCCCCTCAGTAGGGAATCCCCTATCACCACTACACGCCTCCTCTTAGGTTTGGTCGGGGTTCTTCCGTGAGCTGTCCGCTCCAAGGTCGCCTGCACATTCCCTGAGGACTGACTTTGCTGCTCGTCTTCATATACCTGATCGACTGTAATGAGGGAGAGATCCTCAAATGGAGTCTGCTCTTCGTCTTCCATGCTAGGGGAGAGGACCTCAAAGCGATTGTGTATTTCTAAACAATTAGAGCGAACCCTGGGCCTCCTACTTCTTTGAGTCACGTTTCTCCATATATCTGGCTCCTGTGTTGGTGAACTAGCGTCCTTCTCAGGGTCGATCCCTGTCTCCTCCTTGGTGGAGACGGTGTGCTCTGTTGCTTCCAAGAAGAGCTCCAGCTCTCTAATTCTTTGGAGCGTAGCTACACGTTCCTCCAGTTGCTGGACTTTGTCTTTTAAGAGGGCAATCAACATGCAATTGCTGCAGGTAAAGCTGCCTGCAACCTTTGGCAAGATGGCAAACATTGCGCAGGAACCGCAGGCGACTGCAGCTGTTCCCTCCCCCTCTGTCTTGAGAACGTGTCGTTGGGGGTGGCTACAGCGGTCCTCCATCATAAAAAGTGCGAAGACAGGAAAAATAACTCCCCCCACAAAAAAAACCTAGGTCTCCCCCAACAAACGTTTGAGACTAGCTCCCCTAAATCTAAAAGATGGATCAAACTGCGCGCGCCGCTAGGCTGCCCTGCAAGCTCTGATAAGCGCCTCCCACAGCTAATCACCTGCCTCAACAGAAACCCTGCCCCCTCTGACCTTTGCACAGGGAGAGCAGCCAATCAGCCACAAAGAAACACACACACACACACACACACAAGAAAACCCTTTTGCTCCTCCTTCAGCCGCTGCCCTGCAATCTCTCGGCAGAATTCGAGATCAAGAAGAAGGGTCGATGGAAGAAGATTGGAAAAAATTTAAAATATATCTTCAGAAATATTGTAATATAAAAGAATGTTAGAAAAGGTTGGAGAAGAATATTAGACCGTATTGGCAGACAGAGTATAATGGAATAAGTAAATATGAAGTGTAAAATAAAGATAGAGGAGAATTAAATACTTTCGAATGTTAAAATAAGTAAATGAAAAGAAGGTTAGAAGGATTTGCTGGAGATACGATTCAAATTAGAATACAAAGCAGAGAAGTGAGAGGAAGTCACGGAAATAAGTAAATGGGAAAACGGTTCTAATGGTTTAATTTGATTTTTTGTTACTTTTTTATTGTGATTTTTTGTCTTTTGTATTTTTCTTTGTACTGTGTGTTTCTTTTTGTAGGATGTATGTGATTTGTTTTTCTTTTTTTCTTTTTTTCCTTTTTCTGTAATCTTAAAATTGGAATAAATATTCTTAAAAAAAAAAAAAGAGATTGGAAGGCCATATCTTATCACTGCAAAAATCAGGGAGAGCCAGGGTAGCTTGCCACTCTCTAAACAGTCCCTTGATAATGCCTTTCTAGATGCAAGGTTCTTTGGCTCATTGTGGGCTGTAGCCTATCCTCTAATTCTACAGACACGGCTGCTGTTCTTCTGCCAGTCCATTTGTCCTGGACAACTTTCCTGACATCACTAGCACGTTAGCTCTGCTTCTTTCTAACTTGCTGTTCATCTGGCAATTCTGGCTTCCTATTCCTGGCTGCCTCTTTTCTGCAGTATCTCCTTTGAGAAAGAGGATTCTAATCTTCATCATTTATGGGGGTGGTGGTGGATGACTCCACTCAAAAGATTTTTAGGGATACTCTAGCAAAGGGTCCAGAAATCATTCTGAGGTAGGAGAAAAGAGCTTGTAAGATAATTTCACAATTGAATGCTGACATTTATAGAGCATCTACAGGCTCAGTGCAAAGGATAAGAAGGAACAATGATTGAAAGAGCAGATGGCCCATCATCTAGAAAGCCTCATGCAGATTAGGGTATCAAAATAGCTTTTGCACATTACATATTAATACAGCGCTTTCCCCATCTCCTTAAAATCTTTTCATAGTAGCGAAACTCTCTCACTAAATTAGAGAACTTCAGTAGAAGCTGGGGGCTCTTTTGGGCTGCAAAAACACCAACCCAGTTTGACTCCAAGAAAACACAAATTCTTTCCTCAGAATCATGCAAATGGTGTGGGCTATTGGCTATTTTTATTATACATTTTAATATATAGTTTTATTGGATCTTGTTACATTTTTGCAAAAAGTATTAATAGCAAAAAAGTCAATAGAAAATAAAGCCCAAACTATAGTAAGGAGCTGGAGAAAGGTTTTACAGTGGTGCCTCGCAAGACGAAATTAATTCGTTCCGCAAGTTTTTTCTTCTTGCGAGTTTTTCGTCTTGTGATGCACGGTTTCCCATAGGAATGCATTGAAAATCAATTAATGCGTTCCTAGGAAGCCGACTTCAGACCAGGTCCGGGGACAGTCTGTCCCCGACCTCTTCTGAAGGCTGGGGGGGACAAGGGCTTTTCTTCCCACCCACCCCAGCATTTTAAAAACCCGGGACAGCGGAGGGCTTCTCCGCTGTCCGGGCGATCTTAAAATGCTGGCGGGCGGCATTTTAAAATTGCCCCGGGACAGCGGAGGACTTCTCCGCTGTCCGGGGCAATTCAAAGCCCCTGGGAAGGCAGGCAGGGGGACAAAGACTTTTGCCCCCGCCAGCCTTCAGAAGAGGTCCTGGACCTCTTCTGAAGGTTGGCGGGGCGAAGTCTTGTCCCCCCACCTGCCTTCAAAAGCTGTCCAGCCAAGGCTTCGCGGACCTCTCCGCAAGCAGCGGCAGCACTGCCGCTGCTTGCGGAGAGTTGCCGGCATGCCGAAGCCTGCGCGCGCTGAGATCAGCGCGCCCAGGCTCCGCGGACCTCTCCGCGAGCAGCGGCTAGCGCTGCCGCTGCTTGCGGAGAGTTGCCGGCATGCCGAAGCCTGCGCGCGCTGAGATCAGCGCGCCCAGGCTTCGCGGACCTCTCCGCGAGCAGCGGCAGCGCGGCCGCTGCTTGCGGAGAGTTGCCGGCATGCCGAAGCCTGCGCGCGCTGAGATCAGCGCGCCCAGGCTCCGCGGACCTCTCCGCGAGCAGCGGCAGCGCTGCCGCTGCTTGCGGAGAGTTGCCGGCATGCCGAAGCCTGCGCGCGCTGAGATCAGCGCGCCCAGGCTTCGCGGACCTCTCCGCGAGCAGCGGCAGCGCTGCCGCTGCTTGCGGAGAGTTGCCGGCATGCCGAAGCCTGCGCGCGCTGAGATCAGCGCGCCCAGGCTCCGCGGACCTCTCCGCGAGCAGCGGCAGCGCTGCCGCTGCTTGCGGAGAGTTGCCGGCATGCCGAAGCCTGCGCGCGCTGAGATCAGCGCGCCCAGGCTTCGCGGACCTCTCCTGCCTTCAAAAGCCGTCCGGGATAGCGGGAAGCGCTTCCCTGCTATCCCGGACTGCTTTTAAAATGCTGGCGGTGGGGAGCAAAGCCTTTCGGCCCCCGCCAGCCTTCCTGGACCTCTTCTGAAGGCCGGAGGGGGGGGGAAGGCTTTGCTCCCCACCGCTAGCATTTAAAGAGGTCCCCGGAGATTTCCCTATGGGCTTTCGTCTTGCGAAGCAAGCCCATAGGGAAATTCGTTTTGCGAAGCGCCTCCAAAACGGAAAACCCTTTCGTCTAGCGGGTTTTCCGTCTTGCGAGGCGTTCGTCTTGCGGGGCACCACTGTATTTGTGTGCATGTGTGTATTGAAACAAAAGGGAGATAAGGAATAGAAGGAACACACAGTTCTTTCCCTTGTTCTAGTGTGATTGTGGTGTTGCTTCAGTGTCCTTCTACTGGTTCACCAGCAAGGCATCTCTCTGAACCTCCTTCAGATGGAAAGGGAAGCATCTCATGCCTTTCTTCAACTGTGTCTAATATACACACAGTTCCTCATGGCCAAAATCAATGTCCCTTTCATCCACTGGTCAGTTTTAGAGCATACTTAGCTTTCCAAGTAAGCAGCAACAGTCCCTTCATAATAAACAGTGTACATCATAAACCACACCACGTTGCTTCAGGTGCATGATGTTCCGAGTTGGGAGGTGTGTCGGCTGTTTGCCTGAGCCCCCTTCTAGTTCCTGAACCCTGCAGCTCCAGAATATAGACATGAAAGCTGCTCTTGCTCTTTTATACCTCCAGCAGTACTTCCATTGATTGTGAATTTTGCTTAATCAGTGAGGAGTCAGGTTCCATTGAAATTGGAAAAGAAATTATTTTGAAATATCCCAACTGTGAAAATTAAGTGAAAATCTTAAACATCCAATCCCATTTTGTTTGTAAGATGGTGAAATTAAATTTTGACAGATCCCTTTCCCTCTTATATGATGGGTGTAAACATTCTCTTGTCAACTGGTACTGAGAATGCTTTTGCAATTGCTTTTATCAGTTTTTTAACAGAAGCTTCTCAAATGCCATAAAAGGATGATGTATACCATATTTTGTTTTCAATTTTCCCACTGTGTGATTTCATTGACAAAAATTGAAATAGTGGTGTGTTTGTTACTTTTTTGGCCTGTTCATAGGAAATTGTAAAACCATAGTGAAGGAGATTATCCCAAGTAGACAAATCAATAGTCAGTTTGGGTTATACAATCATTTTTTTTTAGAACTGACATTAAGAGGGATAAACTTGGAGTTATTTTTTGTGAGCTGCTGCTCCAAACTTTAATATTGCTTTTGCTTAAGTGAGTAGAATGTCGTGATTTATGTTCTTCTTTGGTTTATAGAAAAGTAATTCCCATAGTTGTATCTTGTATAGTTCCTGCTCCCCAAGTAAAAATTTATCATGATTATCTCTGAACCACTCAAGAACTTTTGCTATTTTTGAGACTTGGGAATATATTGTGTTAGGTACTCCCAACCAAAGTAGATAAATTTTACAGGGGTTTACACAAAACATTGTGGTTTATTGGTGTTAGGGGAGTGGTGGTACCTCTGGTGGGGGGCATGTTGTGCTTCTTCTGGGATACATTGTCCACCTTCGGTCCCCACCCTGCACTCAGCTCTCACCTGTGGCTCCTGGAAGCTGTCAGCATGGGGCAGCAGCCACATCCCAGGAAGAGCTTTGACTGGCTGGCTAAACTGGGTGAGGGGAGCCAACGTGTCTCAAACCCTTGGTGAGTTAGGGACTTCCACACCATGCAAAGACAGGCTCCAGCGGATTGGGCAGATGAGACGAATGCAATTTTTCTAGAAAAAGAAGTGTGTGAACTCACTATGAACACCTCCCTTGTTCTCTTATAATGGCAATGGCACCCATGTGAGAGGTGCTAGAACTGAGTTCCGGCGAGTTCCGGCTGCAAAAGCCCTGAGTGGGTCCAGTGGTCAAGAAGGCGGTTTCTGCAGGTGCTGTAGAGGGAAATGAGGGGCAGATGGGACTTGTCAGCCTGTGAGGAGAAGGACAACTCCGCTGCCTTGTGGCTACACTCAATTATGAGAAAGGCTTCAGAAATAGCTGGAGATGGCAGGAGAGCCCTGGGACAGCCAGAGGGTCTTTTATTTTTATATTCTAGTATTTTATCAGGCAAGAAGAAATGCTTGCACAGAGATGGAGCAAACTGCTTAACACTACATTGAATGCCGCTCATCAAACCCACTGCTGCCACATCAGTTTTCTGGAGTGGGGCCACCCCTCCAAGATCCCCAGACATGTTTTTCCTACAAGCTTTCATGTTCACTTTCTCAGCTTTTCACTCCAAAAAGCCACAGTCTCAATCCGCATGCACACCTCACCACTGTTTCTGTTCTTTTCCACACAGAGAGACTTACATAATCCCTAGCGGTGAAAGGAAAGAACAGGAAAAGCCTGCCTGCTTCACCTAACCGCTCTTCTCACATCCCAGGATTCCAGAGTCGTTTGTGCACCAAAGAACCATTCCCTGGATGTGATGGGTCCTGTAGCAAGCAATTTATTTGACAAATGATATGGCCAGGGCAGCATGTCTAGCATTCGCAACAGTGTATGAACTTATTATAGCTACCAAATTTCACCTACAGCAACATATATATTTTTTGCAGCTGGAGAGGTTATGTCCAAACAAAATAAGAAGGGAACAAAATGGGGAGAGGGTTCGGGCATGATCTGTGCAGCTAGAATGAAAGGGTGGATTCTGCCTACTCTACGTTTTGGCTCTGCATGAGGCCCAGCAGCAGCTGTGAGAGCTTCTTGCTGCCAGAATACAGAGTGGGAGCAGAAGCATGGCTCAGCCTAGCAGAAAAAGGAGCACGTACCCCATGCCAAGGAAACTTAAAAAAATCTCCAGCTGTAATCAATCCTGCCAATCAAGCTGGATCTCTTCTTTTCCCAGGTTATCAATTAATGCAGAACTTTCTTGGTGAGGCCTGAGCAATGGGGGGGGGGAAGCTCTAAAGGGATAGAAAAAGGGCAGCAGTCATGAAGAAGAGACAAGGAGTGATTCGTGATTTTTTCAAAGCTTTGGAAGCTCTCCTGCACAACCTCTGGAGGTTTTGCAGCTGAACTTCTGTTGCACCAGGAAGTTCTTCTGGCACAAGCCCTTTGAAATACAGGTCCAATATAAGAACCCAGTTCAGTTGTCAGAAGAACGGTCTTGAGGTAGCATCTTAGGTTATCTCAGATAATTAACAACATCCCTGAGAATCACAGACTAATTCAATGTTGACAGCTACAGGACTATGTTAAAGTCCCTATGTTATGTACAGTATGTCTACATTTAACATGTTTTACCTGTGTTCTTCAACACTGTGTACCCAGATTATTGGAATAGAACTCCAATCTTCCCTGACAATAGGCTTAGTTGGCTGGGGTTGATGGGAGTTGTAGTTCAGGGGGACCCATGGTTGAAGAATACTGCTTTAGATATTATCTGGCACACACAGAGAAATACTTTTTTGCTGGTTCCTATTCATTCCAATGTAGCAGCCTTCAGTTGAATGGTCCCCTGCTGATACTTCCTATATGATTGTGAACTTTACTTCTACAGAGGCAACCACCACAGTGACTGCTCCATATATGTCATATTCCATCCATGAACATATAAACTGTTTTATACTGACCCAGACCATTGGGTTGCCTAGCCCAGTGCTATTTATTCATTCATGTTTATTATTTTCTGCCCTTCAGCTCCCATAAGGGTCCCATAGACAAGTTCACAACAATAACAACACAATCCTGGGAGCTGTGCTGCCACTTGGAAAACAACAGCTCACAAAGTTAAGGTAGAATTTAAAGCAAAGGATGCCCAAATATGTCAATTTTGGTTTCCCTTGGTCTCTCATCTTTCCAACCTTAAATAAAGTTTGCTGTTTCCATGTTAGTTTGCAGTGAAAGAAATTAAAATTCATCAGCACTTTGATGCAAATGTGTCCAAACCTGCAATGTTGCCTTGTACACATTTTTCAAAGCAATTTCTCCAAATACAATGCATTCTTGTATGTTATTTTTCACTGATATGTGCATTTCTATTAGCACTTTCCCCTAATATACATTTTTTAAAAAACAACATTTAGAGAACTTTGAAGGATAGACATACTTCATTGTGCCTGGTGTTGCAGGAAATGTGAATTAGTTAGGTTCATATTAAAATGTGAACCAAGCTGAATTTCTGCCCTGTCTCTAGTTAACACCCATTAAAACCCAGGTGAAATAAAAACACCATCAACGAAGCCAATTAAATCTCTATTGGGAGGCAGTTTCAAAACGGGTGTTGCCACTGAGAAGACCCTACCTCGTGTTACTGCTACCCTCCCCTGCATTGTCAGTGACATAAAGCAGAGCCTCTGAGGGTGACCACCACTAACAGGTGCATGGGGTACAAGGCACGTACCCTTTGAATGTCCTGATTTTCCAGTGACAGTCCTAGAATTACACAACCCATCCTGGTTTCTGATTTGATCCCAGAGCATCCCTATTTCTTCTACCAGTGCTGCTGCCACCGAGCTTGGAGAGGAGGCTTGGCCGGCAGCTGTCCTGAGCGACAGCAGCTCCTGCAGCTGTGGCTGCAAGGAAGCATCCCATTGCCTCTCCATGGCTTCTCCATGGCCGCTGCTGGCAGACTCCTCGCTTGCATGGCTCCTTGTGGCTGCTGGAGAGCGGGTGAGGAGGTGAAGAGGCTGTGCTGCCAAGGCCCCATGGGAGGTGCTGGCTCTGAGGGGCAGGCAGGGGGCAGGACTGCCCTGGATGGGAAGAAAGGGGGAACAGAGCATAGTGCAAGGGGTCTTGATTTAAAAGAGGGGGGGAGCTGTTGTTGGTTTGCAAGCCCCCTCCACAGAGGCTGGCCCCTCTCACTGTCCTCGGAGCTTGCATACCGGTAACCTCCTCTGGCTGACATACA